CAGGCAAAAGGGACGTCAGTACGAATAATGTACCGAGTATGTAAGGCACATAAATAACTACAAAACAGACATGGAGGACATATAGAGTAAATGCACCACCTGTAAGTCCGGATAACTTTTGCAAATCATGAAATAATTATAGTGTCATGCATATGCGTATGAATGTCATGTCGTGCATAGGTACATGTTTCATAACATCATCAGCCTCTGAGGGCATCCCATCATATCACCTTGGCCACTGTGGGCAAAATCATCAATGTATACCAGCTGATCAGGTGGTGGTGTGTATATAACGCCATAACCTTTCCCATATATATATATACGTGTATATAACGCCATCTGGTCATGGGTCAATGTACATGAATGCAATGCATGAAAAGTACGTTAATAAAATCTTTCGGAATGTCATAAGACCATTTTGCCTTTGAAAAGTACGTTAATAAAATCTTTCGGAATGTCATAAGACCATTTTGCCTTTCAGTAATACCATAAAGTAAACTCTTTTCAACTTTCGTATTTTTACGAGGCCCATGAACAGATGATAAAATATTATGACACATGGAAATTCAAGAACATAGATATCTCTAATACTTCTATGAATAGAATCATGTAAGGAATTTGTGCATTTGCTCGTTTCGTTTGTGTTTTGTAGATCATGCCAAAAGAAAGAAGGGATAGCCTTAACATAACCGGAGTAAGGAAAACTCTGTATAATATGGAGAAGATTGCACCGTACTCCTCTAGAACCGCAAAATTTTTACGTTGAACTGTTGAAGATTTACGTTGCTACAGGCTTAACCACTGTTAGAAAATTTACGTTACGTTGAACTGTTGAAGTTACTTAACGTATAAATTCTGATTTTTGGAGTGCTCTTTTGAGGATGAGAAGTAGAAGTGTCACGTTCAGGAATGAAAAAATGGTGAAGTTATGAAACCTTGGAATATAATATTAATGTTTTCAAGAATTGCAATCCTTGGAATTGGAAAGAATATTTAGTCTTGTGACACATAATCAAGGAATGACCTTAGTCATATCCTTATAAGGTGGCTAGCTGCCACGTTGCTTGTGGGGGTGGGAATTATTATTCTTTATCCACTTATTAGTTAGTTAGGCAATGTCCCTATTACCCGGTAATTAACCAATTACCCGTATAATTAAGAATTATTTTTACTTACTTAAAATATTACTCACTTATCACATACCTTACTATCATGGCCATGTGATACCTTGTATGGCACTAGTCCATAAATATCGGGTATTTTAGCTCGGGCCGTATTTTACCCCAAAATACCAAACTTTGACGAAAATTTATTTTCTTTGACTTGCTTCCCCTTTCACCTTCACGAATTTACTCATCACTTGTAATCCTTATAATCTCCAAATAATCTTTTCCTTGGACTGGTGTGAATTACCTTACGACAAATTCAACGTACAATACTACAGGGTGCAATACCGTCGTAATGTAATACTGCGAAGCGTAACATCACCGTAATGTAATACTGCAAGGCGTAACATCATCGTAATATAATACTGCAGGACGTAACATCATCGTAATATTGCGGGGTGTAACAGATGGCAATAGAATTGGGTTCTATTTCCTTTACCTTATTTTTGATTATCTATCCTATAAATTATGAAATTCAATATTTTGAATATATAGTAGGATAGACCGTCATGATCTTACCACATATTACGTTTTGCATATAATGCAATGACTAGGAATAACTAGAATTATATTAGTTGTGCCGAATGATGTTTAACTAGTTGGTATACAATTCAGTAATATGCATAAATATATTTTCAAGGTTGTAAGATGAATTAGGCTTTGATGCTTTGAAAATTATTTTGAGATTATGAAGATGATAATTTATATGTATCAGTAAAGATATAAATATGTTAGTTTGATAAGAATAATATATCAAACAGAGAAAATATAATAGTGGGTTAAAATGATTTAGTTGGAAAGCCATTTGAAAAGAAAACTAAAATTCTCGTGATTTTCTACTCCTATTATGGAGACTAAAATCTTCGTGATTTTCTACTCGTGCTTCGAGATTAAAATCTGCATGGATTTTTACTCAATCTTTAAGATTAAATTGTCGTAACGTTCTATTTATTTTCGGAGATTAAAGTCAGAGTGACTTACTACTCACTTCGGAAATCAAAACCTAAGTGATTTTTCACTCTGACTTTTTACTCGGTTTTAAGATTAAAAACTTCACCATTTATTAAATCTGGTTGTGTTAGATATTACTCAGTTTGACGATTAAAAACTTCACCTTTTGTTAATTCTGGCTCTATCGTGACACAAACAACAGTTTATGTGGTTGGCTCTACAAAGTAATAGGAGCGGCAAATATGAATCTGCTTTTTAAGAAATATGTTGGAATATGGCATTATTCATCAAACGACTACTCCTAGTCACCGTAATCTAATGGAATTGCGGAAAGAAAGAATAGAACGTTAAAGGAGATGGTGAATGCCTTGTTGATAAGTTTGGATTTACCCCAAAACTTGTGGAGGAAAATTGTTCTTACAGTTAATCGAATACTCAATCGAGTTTTCCATAGCAAAACGCAAGGAATCCCAACTTAAAATATTTTAAAATATGGAGGTGCTTAGCGAAAGTACAAGTTCCTAAACCCAAAAGAGTAAAGATCCGACTGAAAACCGTTGATTGTGTTTTCATAGGGTTTGCAACAAATAGTAAAGCATATAGATTTCTGGTTCACAAATCAGAAAATTCAGAAATTCATATTTATATGGTGATAGAATCAGATAATGCTGAATTCTTTGAGAATATTTATCCGTATAAAAAGGAGTGTGAGTCGTCTAGTAAAAAATTAAGCGACCTCGGGAAGAAGTAAAGAAAAGTATACCTAATGAGGTGAATCCAAGACGTAGTAAACGTCAAAGGACAACTACTTCCTTTGGATCGGATTTTCTAACATTCTTGTTGGAAAATGAGCTTCAAACTTAGAAAGAAGTTATGTCTTCCTCGAAAGAAGCAGTCAATAGTGAGATATAATTCATATTAAATAACCATTCTTGGGAGTTAGTTGATCTTACTCTAGGGAACAAACCATTGGGTTCCAAATGGATTTTCAAGAGGAAAATAAAAGATGATGGCACTATTGACATGTATAAGGCAAGACTTATTGTCAAATGGTATAGACAACAATAAGGCCTTAACTATTTTAACACATACTCGGCGGTTATGAGTATTGCGTACATATGGGTGTTAATTTGGCTACAATATATAGTTTGGAAATCCATCTAATGAATATGAAAACATCCTTCTTAAATGAAGATTTGGAGAAAGAAATTTATATGGAACAACCTAAAGAGTTTGTGGTTTCTGAAAAATAAAAGAAGGTGTGCAGATTTATTAAGTCTCTTTTTGGAATAAAACAAGCACCCAAATAATGGCATATAAAGCTTGATCACAAAATTTCAAATGTTTTAATGATTAATGAATAATAGAAAAAGCACATGAAATGTTTGAAGTGTGGGGGCGTTCAGCTTATGCATAACAAAAGCAAATGTTAGACATGATGTCTATATTATTTAGAAGAACTAGATGATATGATTCTTCGAATCCCATGAATCCTTAATGGATATTGATATGGTAGTCCGTGAATTCGTTACTTGTTCAGTCTTAGTGGTGACTAGTTGATGAAACTACTAATTCAGAGGTTGTTCACGTGCCTTTCCAGAAAGATTGTGTTCTTTCTTAACCATTTATAATGTTTAGTTCTTTTATGAAAGGGTGTCACTTGGAAGGTTGTGACTTTTCATGAAAAGATGTGTCTGTACTTTTTTTTATAGATTTGATCGTTCATGAACGGATGTATTAATACGTTGGTCTATAATATAGTGAATCAACCGATGAAAATGATAAAAATCCATAGCAAGATGGATTTGCTTTATGAATGAAGGTATTATAATGTGCATATCGTATAGACGTGTATTCTATTGTGGAGTATGAATATATAGCATATAAATGCTAGTAAAAGGCGGAGTAGTTGCAAATTTATTAGATATTAAAAAATTGTGGCCATAACTGATGCCAAACATTTCAAATGTTGTTATGACATAATATTGCTACACTAAGTGTAGTCAATAATGTGATACGCAATAGACAGTCAAGACGTATTAGTCTATGACATAAGAAAGTCTGTGTTGAACTATCATGACAGTGAAACGAGTCTTGAGATATTAGAAATATACTCAATATTATGCTTTGCACTATAATAAGTAACATGCGATAATGGAGGGGTATAGTGATACGAATTAGATCACCGGTTGACTGTCTTATTTTTTAAATCGACAAGTGAATATATTTTTACAGGCGGTGGAGGAGTGGTGTCTTCGAAATCATCCAAATAAACGTGCATTGACTGCTCTACAATGGAGGCTGAGTTTATAGCCTTAGACTAGGCCGGTGAAGAAACAGAATGGCTCCAGAATTTCTTAAAGATATTTCATTTTGACCCAAATCATTGGCACCTATATACATATGTTATTGTGATAGTTAAGCGGCAATGGAAGCATTGTAAACATTATGTATAACGAAAAATCTCTTCATATACGACGAAGACATATTTCCATTAGACAACTACTCTCTATGGGAATACCAATTGATATGTTTTGTTGCAATAATATTTTGCAATCCTAAATCGTCATCGATAGATGCACAATGAACTCGTAGTGCAGGGGTATTATTTTGAATTCCAGGTCTAAATGTAGTATTTTCTTCGAGAAAAGAAATTATATTTTTGCTTTTACATAAAGAAGATGCATAGCAAAAACATAGCCTTACTATTGGTTGGTGAATAATCCATGGTTGAGAAGCTATTCAACTTTGGCTTGATTCATTGGCTTATTATCATGCCTACTTGCATAAAAGGAGTTTAACTTCTATACAATGACAAGAATTTTTTAATATCTTATTTTATGAGCAGAAATTATGAATATCAATCCATTTACAACCTTATACTATGGATAATCATAACTTTCTCATCTATTACCAATTTGGCCACAGGGTGGTACAACAGCAACACAACAAAAAACCTAGTAGGATACCATAAGTGATGTCTAGTAGTTTGTGTGCAAAGCTTATCCTAGACCCTCGACACAGGAGAGATGAAATAAAGCAATTCGACTAGGAGGTGACAGCAAGATTTTGCTGCATGTAAAATTGTAGAAATAAGTGGGGGAGAGAAATTGTGTTTCCGGAAATGAAAAAAAAAAACTAACAAATTCTCAACCTACATATAGATGAATTCACAATAGTCTCTCTTACTATGGGTACAATGGGCGCCTATCCTCTCATAAAGATTCATCAAAATGGGCAACAACCCTAAATTTATTTTCATTTGTTCTAACCAATTGTGAGTCAAGCAGCTTCAATTACTATTCTTGGCTTTTCTATTAGTAGTCCATGCCACCCATGCCACCACCCATTGCTGGAGTTTCTTTCTCATCCTTAGGAAGCTCGACAACAACTGCTTCGGTCGTGGTCAAGAGAGATGACACGCTGCATGGAACACAATAGGGACTTTAGCAAGAATCCAATGTCTACACTGAAAGACCGAGAAAATACAAAGAGTGTCGTAGGCTAACCTGGCAGCATCGACCAAGGCTGTCCTGATCACTTTCAACGGGTCAATGATTCCTGCCTTGACCATATCCACATATTCACCTGTTGCATAGAAACAGTAGTTAGAGAAAATGGGTGATGTTTGATCAGTCATAAGTTGAAACGGGACAAAAGATGAAGATCAAGACCTTTGGCAGCATCATATCCAAGATCAGTGTCATCCTGCTCCAACAGTTTACCAACCACGACTGCACCCTCTACTCCTGCATTTGAAGCTATTGTATGTACAGGTGTCTGCAATCACAGGTTCAACCATGGCATAAGTTGTTAGCAATTCAAGATACTTTCCAAAATGGGCATCACATTTGAGCTGAACCACTCTATTTCCGAGAAGCTATATTCTAGACTTAAATAGCAGAGATAAAGGAAGCAAGCAAACCTTAAGAGCATTCTGAATAATCTGTACACCAATTTTCTGGTCAAAGTTGGCAGTTTCTAATTTATCCAATTCCTTTGCTGCATAAAGAAGAGCAACACCACCACCTGCAAGAAAAAAAAAAGAAATTATTAATCTCCAACTAATTAGTTATTCCTACTTAGCTGGGGATTATGAAAAACGGAAATATAATAACCTGGAACAATTCCTTCCTCGACGGCAGCCTTTGTGGCATTCAAAGCATCGGTGACTCTATCTTTCTTTTCGCCAACCTCAGCTTCACTAGCTCCTCCGATCTGAAAATTAATCCAGTTAAAATTAATATACATTCTACTAAGGCACGTTTTAATAGCAACTGAACTAACATGCAACTTCCTTCAACTTAAAAAGGAAAGTCCGAATTCTTCTTGTAGTTCTGCATTTGCACAAGTTGCAGGCATACCTTTAACACAGCAACACCTCCTGAAATCTTAGCTAGTCTTTCCTGCAACTTCTCCTTGTCATAATCAGATGTGCTGAGTTCAATGGTTGATCTAATCTGCAAATACAAAGAGCACAAGTATATGCTCAACCCCATGCTGAAGTGCAGTGCTTGTACCAATATTGGTGCAAAACAGAAGCAAGACAAACCTGTTCACATCGCTCCTCTATGGACTTCTTCTCACCAGCGCCATCAAGAATGACAGTATCATCCTTGGAAATAGCCACCTAGGAATATCGAACACGTATCATATTACTCACAATTTTCTCATGCATTATACATTCAGGTATACTAAAGGAATGGCTACTACAGCCAAAAGGCGCGGGAAAAGTACCTTTTTACATGATCCCAGCATATCCAACTCCACATTTTCAATGTTCAATCCAAGCTCTTCTGTTACAACCTACCACACAGCAGTAAGAGACATTGGTTGAGGCATCTTTAAGACAAATATTAACTATCTTATACATGAGCACGGTAAATAAGTTCTCACTTGGCCTCCAGTCAAAATAGCAAGATCTTGCAAATTAGCTTTCCTGTTTTCACCAAAGCCCGGTGCTTTAATGGCACAAACCTGTAAACATTTACAGACAATATGCAATCACCAAACTGAAGACAAGTTAAACAACAAACAGCACCGCAAATATATAAGCAACATACTTTGATTCCAGCACGAAGCTTGTTCAAAATAAGAGTGGCAAGTGCTTCACTGTCCACATCTTCAGCCACAATTAAGAGGGGCCTTTGCCTCTGAATAGATCAAGTAAGAGTAAGACAGACAGCTCCATGGTTAATCTCAGAAACCAAATTGATAATCTCAGAAAGAGGATTACCTTCAGAGCCAACTCTAATGCTTTCACGACAGCATTAACGCTTGAGATCTTTTTCTCATGAATAAGAATTAGTGGATCATCGAGTTCCTGCCAGATATATCAAGAGAATAGTGAGTTCAAACGGAAAGAGCAAGCAAGTGCAATATATGAGAAGCATGCTGGCAATACGATCTCGTGCAAGCTTCACTAATATTAGCTAACTAGAGACATACACATTTCTGATTCTTCTGATTTGTGATGAAGTATGGTGAAATGTAACCTCTGTCCAGCTTCATCCCTTCAACAACCTCCAACTCATTGAACAGTGTCTTTCCATCCTGCATGATGACAGAAATGAGTTATTTACAAGTCTTCAACAACTCAGCCAAAGTACAGACCAAAGAGGATGATACAAATTGAAGACCAGATGTTTTTCTTAACCGAGCAACAAAAGAATTTATCCAAATTCCATCTTGCTTAATTTCTTGCCCAAATTCTCCCTTTCACCAACAAAAATTGCTCAGGTCTCACTGAGTTAGTCAGTAAACTAACATCCTCTGCTTTAATTACACCCCAAAAGCATATTAAATCAGAAACTTCCAACTTTTGGATACACGCTTTATAGCTTACATAGGTAAATATAGGACAACAGAGACCACGAGACTAGTACAAACTCCGCAAACATAAATAGAAAGTAGAATTACTTACTTGAATAGTGATGACTCCCTCCTTGCCTACTCTCTCCATAGCCTTTGCAATTAGCTCACCAATTTCTCTTTCTCCATTTGCAGAGATAGTCCCAACCTATCAAAGGATTATAACAATATCAGAATCTTATGGGAAATAGTGCATAACAAAGCAGATGATTGACTTCTATATCAACTCCAGTGACTAATTTAATCTCTCCACGGGGCTATTTGTTACTTTCTGCTTTTCTTCCTTTTTACCATTATTACTTCCCTTCGAGGATGGTTTTGAGTAAAAGGTAGAGATCTGTGAGTACCACAAAACACTGTAACATTTATGTGCAAGTACTAAAACTGAAAAAGATACCTGTGCAATTTCCTCTGATGTGCTGATCATCCGTGCTCTGCTTTTCAGGTTTGTTACAACGGAATCTACGGCCATGGTGATACCCCGTCTAAGGTCCATTGCATTCATACCAGCTGCCACTGACTTGCATCCTTCAGCAAATATTGCTCGGGTGAGGACTGTAGCACACGTGGTACCTGAAAAACAGAAAAACACAAAACCACCAATTATACTGGGGCGGAAAATCATAAATTCAGTCTTACGAAGTAACAGAACATAGAACTCCAGCAGCAGAGGCAATACCAGACTTCTAAAGACTTACCATCACCAGCAACATCATTTGTGGCATTGGCAACTTGTTTTACGAGGCTTGCACCAACATTTTTTATTTTGTCCTTGAACTCAACACTTTTTGCGACAGTGACACCATCTTTTGTTACTTTGGGTGCACCCCAACTTTGTTCAATCACCACATTACGTCCCTACACAATAAACTTCTAACATCAATTGCCATTCATGATGATGGAGTTACCACCAGAAATACGCGCTGGTAATCAACAACTTTCTCATCTCCTAGAAATATGCCAACAAAATTGAATGTTGCTGCCCCAGTGTTCTCCAAGTTCGACTAGCAGGAACAAGGAGTGATAAAAAGGCAACTAATTCTACTTTCGCTTCAAGGGAACGAGTTGGCCAGAAATGTCCGAGTTCTGCCAACTAGAGAGCGAAGCGACCAACAGCTTGACATATCAGAGTAACTATCAGAGCCAAAAAAAAACCCGATAACAATTTACAGTTGAGGCAGGTCCCTCTACAATGCCATTTAGGTCGTGTATGCCCTAATGAGTACTTTCCAGTACACTATAAGAAGCATGTGAGCATCTGAAGACAGCAAAGTATTAATGGTTGATGGAAACTAATGACATGACTACAGAATTGCATTTATGTTTTCCATTTCCAAAGAATTGAGCACCTATGCCCGTGAAATTGTTGCACTTGTGTATGAATAGAAGCATAGGTCCAACAAATGACCAAGTCAAACAAAAGACAACATAGTCTCATCACAACCCATCAAAACAATATAATTTATAATGTACACGGATAGGAAAATAATTATTTACTAAAAACAAGAATATTTCACCAAAGTTCAGATTCAGTACTCTCTACAGTTCAACCTATTCAATGTTTGGCAATTCTGAAGAACTTTACACTCGTACAAGCTACATAAACAATACTACAAGTCTTCATCAAATAGCATAAACAGTACTACAAGTCAATCGTTTTTATAATTAACATTTCAAAAAATATATATATATATATATGCACAATTGCAGTAGAAATAACTGTTTCACTTCCAGATAGCAATAATAACATATAAAGTAGAACAAACTAAGTATATGCACTAATGGGGTTAAGAAAAAAGTCAGCTTTGGACCCATAGTGACTTTAATTTAGTAGAAACAAGAATATATTATCAAAGTTCAAATTTTTAGCACGAGTTCTAATAAAATCTTGAGTAACAAGTATTCCCTCTAAGGTTCAAACTATTCAACTTTTGGTCAACAACAACAAACCCCGTGAAGTCTGGAGAGGTTAGTGTGTACACTGACCTTACCCCTACCCTGTGATGTAGAGAGACTGATTCCGAAAAACTTTCCACAATAAGAAACTATATAAGAAGTACTACAAGTCACAATAGTTCTATAATAAACAATATTTATAATCACTTAATAAAAATTTCACCTTTGGACCCATAGTGACTTTAACAGCATCAGCAAGTTCCTCAACCCCTTGAAGCATCATAGCCCGAGCTTCAACTCCAAATCTAATGTCCTTTGCAGCATAATTTCTACTCCAATTTAACCTTCCACCAATCTGCAACAACAAAAAAAAACCATTTAAACAACAAATCCAAAATACAGCTCTTCTTGATCTGTTCAACAACCAAAAAAAAAAATCAAATTTACAAATATTTCCCACCTGCTGGGTGCTGGTTCTTGCAACTCTGTACAAACAAAGAGAAATGGTATTTGTTAATTAAATTAATAAAGATTATATTTTTCTAACACAATCAAGAAAAAAGTTATAGAATATGATTATAAACCTGGCTTTGGAAGCAAGATTTGCTGCAAAACGATACATTTTTTTGCAACTGAGAAAATGGTGGTGAGAGAGACAGAGAGAAGTGGGGGATGAATATAGAGTTTTTAGGTCTTTTATTTAGAGAGGAAAGAGAAGGGTCTAGAAGAAGCAGCTTCTAGGGTTTTAGGGTTTTACTATCATCATTTCATATTTAAGAGTATATCCTGTATTCTCTAAAAAGAAAGTATATATGAGAGAAGGTTTAAGAAGAATTTAAGCCTTTAGAGGTTTTTAACTTAAAAATAGGAGTAAAAAAATGTCAATCTGTAGTTCTCTTTTTTTTTTGAAAAGAAAAAAAAATATTGTAGTGAAGAATGTTGTTTAGAATAATAGAAAATGGAAAAAGGGAAAAAGTATTTCTTGTATTAAAAAGTTGCCTAATTATAATTTTAGTCCCTCAAAAACTATTTTTTATAATTTCTTTTATTTAGAAATAAATAGAAGAATAAGATTGTTGCAATAAATCTATATAATTTTTTTCGTCATTAACTTACATATAATTAAAAGACTAAGCAAATTAAAGGTCATAAACAGTGAAGGCATAATAAAAGTACGACGAAAAATTATATGTAAATTAATAAGCGCTTAAGAAAGCTTTGTTTATGTGGGCAAATATTTTTTCTAAATTTTATTCTCTTTTATAGTATTGAATCATATGTACGTCATCGACTAATCATAATAAATTATTATACTTCTTTTAGTATAAAAGATATGTAAGTTAATGCAATTTTGCTCTTTTTCCTTTTTTGATATTCCAAACAAGAAAGGATAACATCATCTTTTCTTTTTCGTGTTTCCCTCTTTTGATATTTCTTGCACCAACCTTATTCTTTTATTTATTTCTAAAATTCTTTCTATTTCTTTTTTAACTTGAAGTATTAAGTTTTTCATGTTCTGAGAATGACTCAGTCATGTGAATGAGATGGTTATAATTTTTAAAGTGCCGTGACGGAAGGAAAATCTGCTTAATCTCCAATCATATTTCTAACTTTTAGCTGTGATAATTTAATATATAATATGTGTGCAGAGGGTCAAGACGATGGGTGTGGAAAAAGGTAGATTTAAGAATTAAATTTGATGTTTCTACCTTTAGGTTCTTACCCAAATTCATAATACTTTTTTTTGGTAATAAACATCTTTGTATTAACCACCAATTTAAATATTTGCAAAGCAGTAGATCACCATGACCTACTTCCAAACTAGAAAAAAAACATCTCAATTTAACCTTCATGGCCTCCTAACCTCATTTTATACAACTACTCATGTTAAACTATTCAGCATTAACATTTTGTAAGAAGGACACGAGTATAACCCTCAGCTCTAATATTGCACATGCAGACCACTCCCTGGCAAGGACATCATATGTAGTTCCTTGCTTCTCAATGATCCTTGCATTCCTCTCTATCCACACTGTGTGAGTATACTCTGTATACACTAATTTGAGCAGCGTGGCCACCTGAGATCGCCCATTTGTTTTCATTACAATCCAATGATGCCAGCAATCCACAATGTTGTAGGAGGGTGTTGAATCTGTAGCCAGTGCATGAGTCTGGTCCATAAGCTTCTACCATATGCACATTCTGCAAATCTATGATTTCTTATTTCTGGAGTTTGATTGCAAAAGTAGCATTTGTTTTCCACTTGCATACCCCAGTTCTTCAATCTATCAGCAGTTAGCAATCTTTCCTGAACTTGTAGTCACATAATGAATACTGCTTTAGGTCGTGCTTGATTCTGATACATTAATCCTTTCCATTGAACTTTAGGCAAGTCCCCTAGCAGTTGCAAATATACCTGTTTGATTATAGTCCTTTTATGAGCTGGGTTATTGCTAGCTAGTGATATCCAGATTACTCCTTGCTCCAATATTTTCCTGACCATCCAAGATGCCTGCTTTGGAGCTCTCATGGTTGCAAAGACTTGATCCTTTATGTAATAGCTATGGATCCATTTGATCCAAAGCTTGTCTTTCTTGTTTGCTAATTCCCAGCAAATTTTTGTGATTGCAGCCTTATTCCATAGTGCCAAGTTGATCAAGTTAAGCCCCACTGCTGCTCTAGATGAACAAATCATATCACATATGTCACTAAAAGCTTTTTTAGTGATTGTATTCTCCCCGACCACACTTAGTGGTAATACATTTCCTCTTTAGCGGTAATAAATATTGCCACTAAAACCTTTACCGGCAATTGTTAATTTGCCATTGACTGCAGCGTCGCTAAAGGCTTTAGCGGCAGTTCTACAGAGTGCTGGTAAAGATACCAATTATTGCCGCTAAAAGTCCTTAGCATTTAGCAACATTTATTTAGTAGCAATTAAAATGGCCATTAAAACTCCGTAAGAAATGTGCTAGCTTATACATTCAATAGCCTTTATTATTGTCAGCAAAAATCAATTATATGCTAGTAAAGGAAATTTGTTTTAGCGGCAAATGTAATGGCTACTAAAACTACTCTTGTATTGGCCTTTATTTATGTCTTCTTTAGCTTTTGTTACAGCTGAAAATTTAAATGTAAATATACAAAAGTTTGTAATAAAACCTGCTAGTATCCATTCTTAAAATCATAATGTACTTCATTAAATTCACAATCGTTACAAAGTGTCAACAATCTAAGAAAAAAATAAACTATTTGAGTCAAATGTCATTTCAATTATAACAAAAATCTATTTTCAAACTCCTAGATCATTTTGAATTCTTCCACGTGAAATTCCAGTATGAAGATTCAATTGCGCGCCAAAAAAATAGGCTAAATTGTGCCAGATCAAGTTGCATCCAAGAACTCGTCCAACTTACAGCTCAAACTTCACTGATATATTGTAGCTTTCAACTAACATTTGAAGAGTCTCACTAGACTATAATCATACTTCAAATGCAGTCAAAAAGAGCTTCAGATAATGAACAGAGCCACTCGTAGCGCAGCATTACCAATTGTTCGCATTGCACAACCATGTTTGAAGCTAAAATATTCCAGAAACAACCACAGCCCAAAATAAAGCAACATCCCTGATTCTTGTTAAAGGAATAGATGCACCGGATTCTTCTATGTAAACGAAGGTAGGCATATATGCATCTTGCATAGTGAAAGTATTTCCTTCACATAATGAAAAATAAGCTTTGCTAAGTAACTCAAACAACACTAAACAAGGAGAGTAATAGAACAATACAATAACCGGCTTAATACATATATAAAGTACATCCGATTTAGTCTTGGTGTTGTGTGACTTAATACTTGAAAACTAGCACAGCGAGGAAGAAAAGGTAACCATAATGTTTGTGTACAAACTTAGAGAAATCTAAATAAACTATCAGATCAAGTCATTTAGTTAGTGTAGTATGCTGAGCATGTGGTGATCAAGCTGGACTTTAATGCTATTACAGAGCCAAATTCTGTATGAAAGATTATGATTTGCACTTAAAAAATTAATTTGAAGGATATATAAAATAGATATTGTAGTACAATGTAAGAATTTTTTGACCCTATTCAGCATTTGCACGTTTTAAATCCAGTTTAATTTTATATCCGAAATTCCCATTCAACACATAAGAACATATAAGCTGCAGAGCACCAACAAGAAGCAATTTTATCACCACAAGAACATAACATAACTAAGTAATTGAAAATAACAAATCATGTTTAATCTCAAGTAAAGAGTGCATCTCAGAAATGAGTCAAAAAAAGAAGCTTACTACAGATATTTGGAAGGCAACAACGGACAGCAAGACTTTGTTAGCTTTCCTTTCGAATAGAATTTGACTAAAGTGCTTAGAAGATCCTAGCTGTGTGAAGATTTCAGTTCACTTACAAATTAGTAGTCTTCCCAGAAATAAAAATTAATTACCACTTCATAACCCATACTAACCATATTCTAGCACCATACCATCAGGCTAGTTGTCTTCCTCCAAATGTCTATTTTGGCGTAGTACCTATTTATTGTCTGGTCTATTCAAGTAAACAATTGTTGGAGCTTGACCTTATGGAAATAAAAGAAGCAATAACAGGTTCATCACTTGCAATAATACAATATGAAAGACTTAAGTACAATATTAAAATAAGAATAGAAGTAGAATGTATTGGTATAAATCAAAAGTCAATATAAAACAAGAAGATGTAAACATCGTTTGAATGGTATGTTACTAGCTACTGAATTAGTAACATATAACGTATAGCACTTGTATGCAGCTAATTCTACCAATCAATGTACCAATAAGAAAATAAAATATACGGATCAGAAATATTAGGTCGATAAAAAGAGAACGTGAAGGCACCAGGACAGAAACTAAATTTTGATATGGCAAGTGTCTTCCTTCAAACATCCATCCGATTACCGCATAAAAGAGTTTTTTTATCCCCATAGAAAATCTTGACCTCATAGATTCATGGCTAAAGAACAACGAGATAACAGGTGCTACGCGAACACAAACAATCATTTACCATGTGAATGTAACTACTACAAATAATACACATTTTTAGTGCTTGCATAAATACAAGGCATAATAGATAAAAACCTAAATAAAACTATACTTTGAATTAGTCATCCCAACCACATGGTAATAGCACAGTACATCCCAGACATTTAGTTCTTTACTTAGGCAATAAAATTTTCATGTTTAATAGAGGTGCAAATAAAAATTAAAGCTTATTAATTGTGAAAAATGTGCAAAATAATGCGAAATTTAATAGGAACAAACAGTTGTATGTTGCCTAACTTGACTCTAGTGATTCCAAAAGTGTATCCACCTCACTCTAAAAGCTTTTAAGTTACCACCTTTGTCAAGGGAAGCCGGTGCACTAAGCTCCCGCTATGCATGGGGTCCGGGGAAGGCCCGGCCATAAGGGTCTGTTGTATGCAGCCTTACCCTACATTTCTACAAGAGGGTATTTCCACGACTCGATCCCGTAACCTCCGGGTCACATGGCACCAACTTTACCCGTTACCACCTTTGTCAAACACCTAAAAATAAGAAAGCATCACAACAACACATAAGTTAGAACCTAAGGCAAGAAAATATAAGCAGAAGTACTTTTTAGTTAGCTAGAATATAAAGAAATTATTTGTATCTTTATTGTATCAAACAATTTTTTATTGTTGCATCATTTTCTCCAATTTTCACCTCTAAACCAGAGAAGATGATCCTATCTCTGCTTATGATATAGACGTTACAGCTCATTTGTTCTCATTATACATATTCTTAGAAACCCCATGATTTGCTGATATAATTTCTTATTATACAATTCATTCAACCTTTATCTCTTTGCGTGGGATAATAGATTTATGTTCAAATGAAAACATTGATGAATAATAACAACATAACTTAACATCCTAATTTAAATCAGAGGTAAGTCCATTGTTCTTCAAAATTTAACATGTAAAGTGAATCTAACCTAACTCATAAACAAAGGAAATAAAACGGATACGAATGTGTGAAATTGATATCTCATATTTTAAAGATTTAAAGACTATTTGTTTACAACATAGCTATTATATATAATTTGTTCAAGTGACATTATCTCTGTTGTGGCATTTTATCAAACATCAAAATGGCTTTGTCCTCCAAAACAAAATATTTCAAGTACTAATACGATATTAACAGATGAATTAGAACCAGATCAAATCATAAGTAATATAGAGAAAATAAATGAATCATCCCGATCTCTTATGATTACAAAATGAGTGCAAAGAAGCGCCAAATTAAAAAATTAAACTAACATATATAATAGAAAATTGAAAAAGAAAGAAAATAGAGAGCTTACTTACTCCAATGTGACAATTGACATAGAGATGGATGCAGGTCGAAGCAAGTGTCGTACAAGAAAAAACATGAGGAAATCAGATTCCTATTCACCCATAGAAAAATTTAAAATATATACCCAAAAATTTACCCCAAATTGATAGCCAGTCAACCATTACCTATACTGCAGTTTCCATAGGTACTTTGATCTTCACAGTCATGGAAGTTTGGAAGGGTAATCAAAAATAATAAAAAACGATGAATAGCAAATCAAAAAAAGTTATACGACGAGATTAGTTAGAGAAGAGAGAGGGAAATAAAACATATAGGGTTAACTTTTGGAGGGAAGTTAAAAATAAAAACTGTCTCTTTTTCTGACCATTTCCATTAATCGCCGACAAAATTTAAGCTTTCCTTGCCAAAGTCTGTTTGCCAATAATATTTTAGCTTAGCGAATAAATTAGTGACAATTAGCTTATTGCCACAAAATAATTGCCATTAAAAGCCTCTTTTGTTGTAGTGTAGGCATCAATTGCCTTGACAAACTTTAGCCGGAATAATGAAGATTTAGGCCCGATAAACTTGAATACCAAAGATCACATGTTGCACCAATTGAGTTCTACCTGCATATGATAGCTTCTTTGTTGTCCAAAAGGATATCCTGGCCACTATTTTATCAATTAGTGGCTGTAATTGCATTACAGAGAGCTTCTTTATATCAAGTGGTGTGCCAAAAGATCTGAAAGGGAGAGTTCCTTGACTATAGCCCAGTATCTGTTGAATGTCATGTTTCACCTCTGAGCTGACCCCTCCATAGTAAATAGAACTTTTTGTCGGGTTAGCTTTAAGACCAGTTGCTGCTGAGAAGATATTGAATTTGTCATGTAAGAGTGCTACAAATGTAGCATCTCCTCTTGTAAATAGAAGAAGATCATCCGCGAATCTCAAATGAGTTAAATCCAGCCTTGAACACATTAGACGATAATGAAAAGCCTTCTCTTGCTTCAAAGTTTTCAAATTACTACTCAAGCATTCCATTGCTATGGCAAACAAAAAGGAGAGGATATGGCCCCTTGCTCGAGCCCTCTAGTTGCATCAAATAGCTTAGTTGTTTCCCTGTTAATGAGTATAGTATAGTTAACAGTTGTCACACATTCAAGAATCCACTTAGTGAATTTGTCTGAGAAGCCCGAGCCTTCTAACACCTGATGTAGGTATCTCTAATCCACTGTGTCATAAGCCTTTTGAATATCCACCTTGATGAGACATCTTGGTGAAATATTCTTCCTAGAATAAGTCTTAACCAGCTCATGAGCAAGTAATACATTATCTGCCACCTTTCTGTCTGGAATAAACCCTGCTTGAGTATCAGAAATAATAGAAGCTATAACTTTCTGAATTCTGTTGGCCAATACTTTGTCGATGAGTTTGTATAGTGTTGTCCGACAAGTTATTGACATGTACTCTTTAATGCTTGAAGGGTTAGGAACTCTAAGAAGTAATGTGATAGTTGTGCAATTGATTTCTCTAAAAAGCTTCCCTGATTGAAAGAACTCCTTGACTGCTTGACAAATTTCCGAGCTGAGAAATGGCCAGGCTAATTTGAAGAATAAGGCATTATATCCATCTACCCGTGGTGATTTATCATCTCCAATAGCACACAGCCCATCATTGATTTCCTGCTCAGTAACTTTAGCACAGAGATTGACCTGCTGCATATGATTGAGAACTGGTCCTAGCTTCATCACCTACTTATTTACTGCTAGCAAATGGACTGCTGTTGATCCCATCAAGGACTTATAAAAGTCAATGATCTCTTCTTGGATCTGGTGATGGTCAGTAAGTCTATCTCCATATGTATTAATAAGTTCTGTAATGACTTTTCTTTGTCTTCTTTCCTTCATAACTGCTGAAAAATACTTGGAATTTGAGTCTCCTAGTCTTATCCATTTAGCTCGAGCTTTTTGTTGAAGGATACTTTCTTCTATTAATGACCATTTCTCCATATTCTCTAGGAGTAGTTTGTCTTCGACAACTAGTTCATCAAGTAGCAGCTAGGCATTTGAACTTGAATGTCCTGCAGCCTCTGTCTATGTGATCCAGCATATCTTTGATGCCTCTGAATTCAGTGTTAATTAGTTGCCTTAATAGTGGCCTCAAAGCCTTCAACTTATACCAAACATTCTTCATAGGATTTTGCACTTAGGTGATCTTTCCACACTTCTTCTACCAATTCCAAGAAGTTTGGATGGTCAGCCCACACATTAAAGAACCTAAATGGGATCTTACCACTTGGTCCAGCTCTTCTCATTGTAATTACCATGGGAGCATGATCTGATATGAATGGCAATTTGTATTCACTTTCATGTGTCCATATGTTTGCATCCAGTCATAATTACCTATAGCTCTATCTATCCTACTATAGACTCTAGTAATACCTTGTTGTTTGTTTGACATGTGTAAAATTCCCCCTTCCAAGGTAACTTATTCAGGTTTAGAATGTGCATAGAGTCTGAGAAGTCTTGCACTTCATTTCATGTGACTGGATTACCATAAAGTTTATCTTGAACTGTTGGCCCAAGAATAGGTGAAGTTCTGAAGATTGACAAAAGAACTCAGTCATGGACCAGGTCCATCTAGTGAAGCACAGTCATGATCACACAATCCATGTGAGATGCATGTGAAGGAGATAAGGACTACTGATCAAGCAGCAATATCTCCTGATCTACTCGAAAAGGTTGCATATTAGATAAGGGGAGAAAGTCTCCTTATATGAAGAGAACACAATCCAGGACGAAGATAGTGTTAGAGTTTGAGAACATCATGAACTCTTCTACGATAGGAGAGCAGCAATTGAGTCCTAATCAAACTCTGATCACTAACCTATTAAATGACAGTAATTGTTCTCTTTTACAGGTATTGCACATACGCAGAAGTTAAACTAAATTGAGAGCAAAAGAGCAAGGCGATTTTGCAATCAATTTATGTGTGATTTGAGTGTGCACTCCTGAAGCTACTTGAACAAGATAGAAGAACCAACTACATTGTGTCTATCTTTTATTATAGTTCAATTGTAGTAGGTGTTTTAAAATTGTACCTTTCAGCTTTTATAGAAGAAATTGTATTAGTGTGACGACCCGACCCGTCGTATCAGGTATTACTGCCCCGTTTTCCTCATTTATTACTTCTTCATGTTTCATTACCGGTATGTGGTGAGTTAGAGTTGATTCGGATTGGTTTTGATAAGAAATGAGACACTTAGTCTCTTTTAAGAAGGCTTAAGTTGGAAAAGTCAACTGGACGTTGACTTATGAGTTAGAGGGCACGGATGTGATTTCCGGTGATGCGGTTAGCTTCGGGAGATGATTTGTGACTTGGGAGCGTGATCGGAATTTATTTTGGAGGTCCGGTGTAGAATTAGGCTTGAATTGGCGAAGTTAGTATTTTGGCAAATTCCGATTGATAGGCGAGATTTTGATATAGGGGTCGGAATGGAATTCCGAGAGTTGCAGTAGCTCCGTTATGTCATTTGGGATGTGCGTGCAAAGTTTCAGATCATTCGGACGAGGTTTGGTAGACTTTTTGATCGAAAGTGCATTTCGGAAGTTTTTGAAGAACTTAGGCTTGAATTCGATGTGATTTGATGGTTTTAGCGTTGTTTGATGTGTTTTGACGATTGGAACAAGTTTGAATGATGTTATGGGATATGATGGTGCTTTTGGTTGAGGTCCCGGGGGCCTCGGGGTGATTTCGGGTGGTCAATCGGACCACTTTTGCTCTTATAGTAATGCAGGTTTTCAGCTGTGTTGTTGCAGAAGTGTTGTTCATCGCGTTCGCGTGGGGTGTGTCGCGAACGCGTAGAGTAAATTTGAGAGGCCTGGAAAATAGTCTTCGCGTTCGCATAACTCAGGGCCGCGTTCGCGTAGGTAAGAGAACCTGTGCATCGCGTTCGCGTAGTTGGAGGATTTAAGTCGTCGCGTTCGCGTACTGGAAAACGCGTTCGCATAGAGTAAATTTGTGGTCAACATTATTTGGTCATCGCGAACGCGTGGGTCTTGGACCGCGTTCGCATAGTGTAAAGCACCTGGGCAGAAAAGGTTTTATTTGATTATTTCATCCGCGAGCCTATTCATTTTTTCCTCCATTGTTGACCACCTTAAGAGCTTTTTGGTAAAGATTGAAGAGGATTTTGACGGGAATTGATTGGAGGTAAGTCTCGTGACCTAGAAACGTCATTTTATTGAAGAATCAACCTTTAATTCATGGAAATTGGAGTAAAAATTGGAAGAGCTAGGGCTTGAGTTCTTATATTTTCAAATTGGGATTTGATAGGTCATTTGAGCTCGGATTTGGGAGTTCTTGGTATGTACGGACTCGTGGCGAGACGAGGAATCCGGTAATGTAAGTTTCATAATTTTTCGAGAAGCGGGCCCGGGGCTCGGGTTTTGCTAGTTTCGAGATTTTTGCTATATTTTGATTGTTTTCGATTGGGTATTGTTCCCTTGGCTTAGTGTGACGTATTCACTCTGATTTTGATTAGATTCGACGCGCGTGGAGGCCGATTTAAGGGGCAAAGGCATCGTGGGCTAGAGATTTCACCGGATCGAGGTGAGTAATTATTGTAAATGATATCCTGAGGGTTTGAAACCTCGGATTTGCACCCATAGTGCTATATTGAGGTGACTTGCACGCAAGATAGAGAGCGTGGGGTAGAGCACCGTTGGGGATTGTGACTTGATCCGTCCCGGTTGTTGATTTTACCGCGTATTTCGCTATGACTTGTTGTTTTTCACTAGGACTTGGGCTTATTGCCATATTTGGGGCTTATTGCCGACTGTTTGAACTCCCTATGAGCTATCATCACTGTTTTCCTCACTATTTGAAATATTATTTGAACTCAGTCCATTGTCATTACAGTGTTTCATGAACTCAGCTATATTTTTACTCAATCTCGAGTTTTAACTGATATTTGAACTATTGTTTGAGCTGAGCATTATTGTTTCTTTACTGATGCCCGAGGGGCTGATTGAGGCCGAGGCCATATGTGAGGATGTGCTGAGTGATGTGAGGAGGCTTTCAGGCCTCGAGTGTATTGTGAGGAGGCTTTCAGGCCTCGAGTGTACTGTGAGAAGGCTTTCAGGCCTCATGTTGATATGTACAGGCTTTCAGGCCGTATGATGATATAGCGCTTGGGCTGTAGGAGCCCCTCCGGAGTCTGCACACCCACAGTGAGCGCGGGTACCCATTTAGAATTGGACAGTGGTAACAATGACACTGTCATACGTGTTTTGGTCAGGTAATAATGACTGACCAGTCAGGTAACAATGGCTCACCAGTGGAAACAATGGCACTGAAACACGCGTTGGGTCAGGTAACAATGGCTGTCCAGTCAGGTAACAATGACTGACCAGTGGTAACAATGGCACTGTAATACGCGTTTTGGTCAGGTAACAATGACTGACTAGTAACGAAATTCATGCCCGAGGGGCGAACTTTTATGTGTTCATCTTGCATACTTATTTGCATTTTTACCTGCTATGTTGTGGTATTTGTGCCCGAGGGGCGGATTTTCTGTGCTAATCAGCACTAACTATTTGAAACAGCTTTCGTAATTATTGAAAGGACCATTTTCAAAAGAGATTTAAACTGAGCCGAAATATTTCTAAAGAAGTTCTCTGATTTCACTGTTTTCTCGAAAATTGTACCCGGCTTCTGTACAGCCCATTGGTTGCTTTACGTGATTTCTTGCTGCTCAGTTATTATTTACTTCTATTACTCACTGAGTTGGAAGTACTCACTTTACTCCTTGCACCTCGCCTGCAGTTGCAGGTATCGTTCACCCGGTAGCGGGTTATTAGCGGATTGAAGGTATTGTTATCGTAGCTGAGCAAGGTGACCGCTAGCGTTCGCGGCACCGGATGTTGTCTTTTGTTACCAAAAATTTTACTAGTATATATTTATTGGCCTGCAGTTGTGTTTAGGTTTTCTTTAGATGCTCGTGACTTGTGACACCCCGGTCGGGTTGTGTTGGGTTGTAA